TCATTTTAAAGTTGCCAAGTTTGGACAGCGCTGCCCTAAGGGATTCTGGGATTTGAAGTCCACACATTTTAAAGTTGCCAAGTTTGGACAGCACTGCCCTAAGGGATTCTGGGATTTGAAGTCCACACATTTTAAAGTTGCCAAGTTTGGACAGCACTGCCCTAAGGGATTCTGGGATTTGAAGTCCATACATCTTAAAGTTGCCAAGTTTGAAAAACACTGCTCTCAGGTTTTACAGAGCTTCAGATTCAAAGGCAAAAAAGTACTTCACAGAGCACGAGGAGAAATACATAGCCCCTGTCTGCACCTCCTTCAAAACAAATGCATCTGTACCTGGGATCAAACAGCAGCTGCAGAGGCAGCTGTGCAATGCTTAGAAAAAGTACAGCTGCTTTAAGGAGTTGCAGCCAGGTGTTAGGCTTGCATTTCTTCACCTTTGCCTTCAGGGTATTGCATGACCCTGCTATGTTCTGGAGGCATGGATTTTTCCACCTGTGTCCTGACACATTTGGGAAAAGATGCATGCTAAATGGCCTTTGGAATTAGAAGAGCATGCATTCAAAATCCACCTGAATTTTCAATGGACTGAACAAAAGTAAAACCTAAGGTAATTGAGCAGTTGTGGGAGGCTAAATTATGTTTCCGGATTGTGACTTCCTTATGAGATCTCTAATACTTTGCTTTGATCATTTTAAGCACCCGTGGTGAATAGACTGACCAAGCCTCCCTGTTCAGCACCATCACCTTCCACACTAGGTATGAAGAGTTTGCATTTATGTCATGAAATTCACGCAAAAACACAATCAGTGGCTTGTGAAATTAATTTGGTTTTAATTCTAGGCAACTAAGTTGGTTACGTTCCCTTAAAGAAAAATGGGATTCAAAAGGGGAATGGGTTGTACGTTTAAGAGTGTTTCCCCACAAGTACCCCAGAGATTTGCTGTATATAAGTAGCATTAGATTTTGCCATTTTGAGTTGCATTTTGCAAAAGCCACAGTGTGAAACCATTTTTTTCAACAATGATTGGGGCAAATAATAGGTGATACCATCTTCTCTGAGGATATCTAATTACCCAAACTGCATGATTCCTTCAACCTCCCACCTCTTGACTCCCTTAACAGTGATCATTTTTTCTAATATAGCTCCTATTTTCCAGGCCACTGTTGTCATTGTGGTCATTGTTGAGTCAGCAAGTGAGATACCTTCTGTACACAGCAGTTTCAGTGGCATTTCAATTAATCAAACCCCTCTTTGATCAACCTAGTTAGCGTTCAACACACGATGAAACCTGGGCAGTGTCTCTTAAAGGACTTTTCCTATGAGCGCTGCGCTGCACAGCTAGCTGTAAGGAGGTTTGAATTTACTGGATGTCCAAGGCCAGTTTTGCATTGTAAGTTTGGCTTTAGAATCTAGCCTACTGGCAATTAGAGCAAACAGAATGGGTTTTGTCTGCTATGATCAACAGGCTGCATAAAAGAAATATCAATAAAAATACCGTAGGAAGTTTTTTATAAATACTGCAGTATAAATTCATGTACTCTCCTTATTAATCAATCATCTGCTTTCAAAAAAAAAAAAAAACCACTCCCCTCCCCAAGAGGGTACCTATAATTTTAACTTTGCTACATCTGGAATTATTAAGCTCTAGATAGTGCAGCTGGATTAGAACAGTAGCTGTAATTGGTTTTTCAAATGTGTTTACTACATATTAGTAAACAGAATCTTGACATTATCAAAAAATGCTGCAGCGACCTTCACAGGGGGGATTGAAATAAGCAAGATGGCAGTCGTGGCATTGAGATCGAAGCTCCATCCCTTTTGACAGGCAGCAGCACCCCACATCTGTACAAAGCATCAGGGCTTCAACCACAATGCCGTGATGACAATCTTGCCTGGTTTGGGCCCCTCCCCTGCAGATGCTGCTGAACGCAGGATTAGAAAGTAAGCAAAAGCTTATGCATCGTATCCTGTCTTTAGTGAAAAGGTAGAAAGATGAACACAACACAGCCAAAGGCTGCATTTCAGGTTAATTATATTTTTTCGCATGAGCTACAAATATCTAATATTTTCTTCAAAACCATCTCTTAGGTTGCAGTTCTCCTTCTGTTTATTCAGAAATTATTCCCACTGAATGTGAAAGTATTTAATTCATAGCAGATCCATTAAGACTTGAAGTAGAGACTACCCTTGAGTCGAGCTCACCTCCTGATGACTGCATTGAAGAAGTTTTCTTGGTAGCACTGCAAAAGTGGTTGGCTATATTTTTCTGGGATGTTCTTTCAATGTCCTGGGACCTAGTCAGCTTTGGCTGATCTCAGAAAGCGAAGCAGGTCCTTGGAGATCACTAGGAAATCCCAGGGTTAGACTGGGAAGTCAAAAAACCTAACTGGAAAAAGGCATAAGCAAAGCACCTCCATATTCACGTCCACAAAATCACCAGAAGTAATGCTGAACTTGGAGACCTTATGTTTATATAAAGGATTGCACTGTTAACTTAAAAATGAAATCTTTGTATCATTCATATGCCTATTTTTGCACAGAAATTGTTTATTTCTGTTTCTATCCTCTTGTTTTCAGATGTATATGAACTTCCTGAGGAAGAGGTAAGATGCTGTATACATATTTTTTTTAAAAACAAGGAAGATACTGAAGTCTCACCTGTGCAGGAAGATCCTAGAAAGAGAAGAAAGGTTCAGAGCAGAAAGAGGGAAATATTAGCCTGCGTGTGGTACATGTGTGTACAGAGGAAAGGGGGAAACCATGCATATGTTCAAAATTGCATTCCATATGCGGTGTTCAAGGAAGCCAAATGCAGTTTTCATCTGCTTTCCAAAAATGGCACCGTGAGATGCATTTCTAGGAAAAGATGAGGGTATCAATGAAGTTCAAATCTAACTTGTTTTGTAATAATAATTTAAAGCAACCTACTGGCAAGGATAATATTTTAACAATGCTTATTAGCTTTCTAGAATAAAAAAAATCATAAAAGCTTGGATCGGCAATTTTGACTTGTTTATTTGATCTGCTTTTGAAACACACTATGGAAGTGACATTATATTTTGGGTATATGATGTGGTTGTTGCAGCATCTCCTACAAGTTGATAGGAACTTCCATTTTTGGGGAACTATTCCTTAAGAAAATTAAGAACCTAATATAACTTGTGAATACTAATCCAGTTCATTTTCTCCAGCAGCAGTCATCACCTCCATTACTCAGGTAACTTACTAATCACTCTGAGAGTCTAAGTAAATGTTGCTGCATTGTAGAGGTTATTTCCCTAATTTTGTTTTCTCCTAAATAAGTCTTAATCTGATCTAGATAATTTAAGTTTATGATGCAATGGAATTTTAGTTGAATGATGTATAGCAAAAAATGTGAGGCCAAGCGAGAGACAATTTAGGCTAGAATTCTAATATGGCTATAACCTTATTTGATAAGCACAGCCTTCTCCATGTGTTGCCTCTATGCCTCAGTGCGCACATTGTTCACCTCATATTGAACATCTGTTTCATAAACTGCACATCGAAATAATATTCTTTTATTCTGGGTAATCCCCCAGCAACTGATTTTTGGAGAACTGCACGGGGCGGGGGCAGAACTTCAGAACATCTTTGGGGAACATGACTTGGAAATGTAGGCATCCTGTGTGAAAAGCCTGTTTGCATTTTTCTCAATAAGGATATCCAAACCACTTCCTCCAAAGCCCGTTTTGAGACCATCTGGAGGACATGCTCATGAACGCAACATACCTAAAGAATCCTTTACTCCAGACGTGTTGAAATCAGACAGGTTAGTTCCCGATTTTAAAGAAGATTCTCTAATTTGCTAACAAATATAATGCATGTTGAACATTTAATGTGGTTTTGTGACTAGTATTCCACTAGAAGACTCGGGTTTGTTTATTTAATACATTTATATAGCTACCCTTGTACCCAAGGAATTTTGAACCCAAGTTCAAATTTGCCTTCATTCAAGAATGGATAGGACATTTTTTTTTTAAAAAAAAAGACTACTTCTAGATCCCCGGAGGCCAATCTAAATAAATTATTTACCATAAGACACTGCCACATTTACTGTAGGCAGTCAAAATTCCCTAGGCTTTACAAGCTGTGCTGATTTTGCACTGCTCTTTATCTGACTGGGAGACCAATCCAGCTTAAAGTCCATATACTTCTTCACTGTGGGGGTCACCAGAACTGAAAGTGCATTTGTGCTTTGTGAAAATTAGCATTGTCTGCATGCTTTCTGAAACATAACAACAGTAAAACAGCTTTCTTAACCTGATCTATTGATTACAGTTCCCATCAGCCCTAGTTAGAAATGCGCCATAGTGGCTGAAGATGATGGGAGTTATATTCTAGTACATCTTGGAGGGGCATCAGGTTTAGGAGCTAAATTTAATACATCTGCTTTATAAGTAACCCAGCTCAGCTCCCACTGGGAAAATACCCTTAAAAACAACCATTAGAAAATAGGTAATTGCAGTTTTATTTAGAGGACAAAAAGAAAGACTAACACATCTCCTGTGTTTTCCAGAAACATTTTGCCACTTCCAAGGCACCGCCCTTTACCGAAAGTTGTAAGTATCTGACACCCATGTTGGTAATGCAGTATGAACAGTGGAGTTCTGCAGATATTTGGGACTGTGACATGTTCAGCCAAAAAGCCAGGATAATGAAAGAAATCTTGCTCATGCCCAGATATATGCATACAAACCTTCTTTATCAGAGTCTTAATATTCCTATGTCCGATCCAGAAAGGCTGCCATTTAGGGTTTATAGAAACTGGAATTCAAACCTATAACAAGCCATGCTTACAAATCTGATTTGCACAAATCTAATACAGCGGTTACTGTATTAGATTTGTGGGTTATACAGAAGCCTGAGGTTCTGTTTAAAAAGATTCTGAAATAGGGATTGGGTGCCCAAGCTCATTAACTGGGCTTTTTCCTTTGGTGCCATGTGAACACAGCATTTAATAAAACAATTCCCATGTTTTTCAAGCGGATCGTTGTCTTCTCTGTAGAATGTTAAAGCTATTATCCAGAGGGTGATACCCCTTCAGTTCAGCTCAATAAGTCTAGAAAATACAATTCCATACAGCGGTAGGTAGACTACTTTCATGAAGAATTTTATTGGCTCCAGATTTTGTCTTTCTGCAGACTGATGCTATGGGTTTTCTGATCATATCTCACCAGAGGTGTATCAGAATCAGAAATTTCAGAGGGTTCCCTGCCTTCAACTCCTTGGACTTGTATATGGCTGAGAAGGAAAAAGACAGGGTAGTTGAAAAATGGATGAGTTGTGTGATGACTACATGGCAGGAAGAAATCATTTCCAGAAGAGAGGGAGAAATGAGCTAATGAATCATGGGGAGCGAGCAGAAGCTTCTCACAGCATTCCACAGCATTAGAATGAAAGAAACGAGTTTGGCAAGAGAAGATTAATTCAGTGAATTAGTCACTGGGATGCTCCAGATTTGTAGGCAAGTAGTTCCCAAAGGGCATGGAACGATTATGAAAAATGGGGCGAGAGTCGCACATCTCGATCATGCAAAATGCCCATACAGGTGCAAGCAGGTCTGAAACCTTAGGCTTGTTACACAAACCAGCCTTTTGCCTGGTGGGATCGATAAATTACCTTAGTATTTCAAAGGCTTTAGCTCTGATATTGATGCTGCTGTTTATTGATTTTTTTATTTATTTTGTTTAGAACTATCCTTAATTCATTTGATGAGAACATGTTCATTGGGTCATATTATGAAAATAAATTCAACACAAGTTATCACAAATATCTGGAATACAGCTTGCCCAGGGTTGTTAAGTAATCTGAAAATTGTATTTTAATTTCAGGAACCAGAGGGCCTTGGAACACAAACCGATGGAAGTAAGAATATTCTGCCTTAAGCCAAATGTGCAGGGACTTCCAAGTTGACTGGGAGCCACCAAAGCCACTTTAGAATAGCAGCGTCTCACGCTGACTTATAATGTCATGCGATCCTGTGAATGTGTAGGAACAAAGCACTTACATCGGTCTATCAAAATGCATTCATTTGTGTGACAGGTCTTTTTGAGTTTTTCTAAGAATTGTTTGAGCTTTTCATTTTGGTTAAAGCAGTGTTGTCCAAACTTGGCCACTTTAAGATGAGTGGACTTCAACTCCCAGA